TTGGGTGGAGGGAGGTATACATACATATTTCCAAACATGCAATAAGTTTTCTGATGTTATTACATTTTCCAAGCTGAGGTCAAGGAAATCATTATTCATTCATTCATTCATTCATTCATTCATTCATTCATTCATTCATTCATTCATTCATTCCTGTATAGCTGCCCATTTCAACAAGTGATTCTTATGGTTCAAGATCCATATGTAACATAACTAAATGTATATAGTGCAACTATAAACTCTTTAGAATGTACACACTGAGTTTATATAATAAGAATAGGTCATATAATAATTGGGGAGTATTTGAATCAAACCTTAGATCCCTTTTTTAGTAATACTCTCCTCCATTATATTCCAAGATTCCTAATTTTATATAACAGAGATTTGGATGGCCCTGCACCTGCTCCATAAGCCTTGAAGACCTGAATAGCCCTCCAGGCACAGAGTCAAGGCACTGAATGAACCTGTCTGCAAAAGTCAGAATATGAATTATTGGAAGTTGGCCTTGATTTCTGATGTTTTTTTTTTCTGTGCTGTTTTCTGTTTGTTTTGTTTTATTGTTGTTTTGCTGGTTCTGTTCTTGGTTTTCATCCAAGCTGCCTAGAGTCACAATCTGTGAATTAGACAGCCATATAAATTGATTAGATAAATTTTGCAAGATTATATATGCAAATATATTCTGGTAGGTATTTGGTATTCTATTAATTGTTCCCAATATGAATAGACTTCTCCTTTTCCATGCATAAAACTTTTCATTTAAGCTTATTGATATTTCATTATTTAGTATCCAACATTAAGCCATGTAACATAACTTACAATTATTTCAGACTATGCTCTTGTGATGTTAGTAACTTCAATTGACTAAGATTTTCATTAATTTTTAAGTATACAATTGTTGTACAATAATGATTTTATTAAACTGAGGGAACAATAGAATTTTTCCATATCAAAAAAGGTTCTGTTTCATCACTATATTGATATAGGAAACAACAAAAGCATTTATTGTGATCATACAGTATGCATACACTTTTTGTGGAAAAAAGCAACAATTAGATAAAATTTTATAGTGGTAGATGTTAAAGAATTAACTCTTTATGTATGTCATATATCTCCTATCTCCAAATTAAGCAAGAAGTAATATTCAATTTTAACCTACGTGGGAAAATATACTTCAACTTTAGATCAATCAAGCAACAGTTTTTTAAAATGTTGTTCCAAATTATGCAGTTCAGATCTCTTATCAACAGATGAGATTCATTTTCTACAGCTATCCTAGGACCACATACCAATCTTACTCTACAGTACCTCTTTCTCTTTAACAAACTGTTTCTACAATTAGATTTATGAAAGTTGAAAATTCTCCTGGCCCTGGTAGTTTTTTAGTTCTCCAGCATAAGGCAGGCTGGGTTTTAATCTTCTATTGGAGATATAAACTGAAGCTTTTTCAAATAGACTCCTATCACTTAATTGTGAAACATGCGTTACTTTTCATCCAGTATTTGAACCAATTATACACCTATTTCTTTGATAAATACAAATGCTTAGCTATTAACAGCATCTTCTGCTTGTAGAATGAAATGTGCTTCAATAACTGTTTTGCATTCTGAACTCATGCTGAATTTATATATAATCATCAAAGTTATGGTTATATTGGGTTTGACATAATTGCTTAACTCAAAACAGGCAGAATCCAGAAGCTCTTACTTCACTGGATATTAAGAAAGCTTTCTATATGACTTCTTGGAGATGTTCAAACTGAGTGAAAGTTGATATGAATTTCCTCAAAGTTTTAAAGCTTAGATTGAATTATTTTACTTAATCCTTAAATCAAGTATTATTACTATGTGTTATCATTTTAGTTAAAATTATGCTATAATCATTTCAAATATGCACTCTCTCCTTTTCATTTCAATTTGCCATCAAAATCTCTGCTTATGTTATTAGAACTTCTGAAAATATTATAAGGATCATAGTAGGAGAACAGAGTGTAAGATTCTGTTATATGCAGATGATATGTTTCCTATGACAATGAAAATGTCCATTCCTAATTTTATATTGCTAACACAATTTGGGACTCCCATCTGATTAGTTCATAAAATTGGAACAAATCAGATGAGATATCATTGGTTCTCAGTAATAATTTCAGCATGCATAGGGACAGGGAGGTTAGGTTGCGTTCCAGCTCCTTTATTTATTTATTCCCAGGTTTTCTCTGCCACTTTGCTCTAAAATAGCAGTTATCCCAATATAAGAATTCCCAGAAATCTTTCTTAACTAATAAATTTGATGTTTTATCTTTGATTTGCATCAAAACTGGGAGTAAAGATTTGGGGGTAAAATAAATGTGATCAACAAGCATTTAATTCTGAGATTGACTTATAAGATATTAAATACTTCCTCTGGTAGGAGCATCCCTTAATATTTTCACTGTTTGAATTACAACTGCCTGTTGGGAATGTGGATTTTATTTTCTGTACTTTTAACAATATATTATTTTCAGCTTTAAAACAGGGCATAATGTCAAATAATGCAAGAACTTTACAAGACCTCTGAATAGCCTAATTCAAATACTTTTCTCTCCCCCGCCTGCCCTTATTTTTCATTCCCCCAATTCTACAACTAGTTCTGTACCATCTGCAGCCAGATGCCTCTGCTCCCAGGCAGTCCTAAAGCTATGTAGGCTTCAGCTGCTGCTGCTACAGCAATAGTGCCTTATTTAAATTGTTAATTTTTTAGCATGCTACTAAATTATGCTGAATAATCTATAACATAGTTTGAAACCTGTAGCTTGAAAATCTTTCAGCTCATTTGCATCCTAATATATTGCTAAGATATAAACAAGAGTCACAGCCAATGCCGTGGGAAGTTCAGGGCAAGAGATTTGCTATAAACAATAAATTGGTCAAAGCATGCCACAAGAATCTTTTAGAAAGTTAAGTATTAAGTATTTTGAATAAAAGTGATGCTGTCCATTCTCCTGAAAAAGATAACTCCATCTGTTCATTCTTGGCACTTTTCCTAATAGGAGGAGAAAAACACTATATTTTCAAAAATTAATGCTTCTATTACATTTTTTAAATCACATTTATGCTTTAATTGATGGATTATGTTCATCCATCCTTTATTTCTTCCCTCCCTAAATATAGTTACGATTCAATTTAATATTTCTTAGCATCTCGGCTAACAGACTTTTATGGAAACTACAATGAGATAGCATATCCTATTAAGTTTTAGCTGTACCACAGCAAGACAAGAGCCAACTTTTTTTCACTATATTTATAGTCTTCATATTAATGTTCAAATAAGGTACATTTTCAGCTTTATTTGAAACTTTATTCCAGTTAAAAATAGGGCTGTGTGTTTTTCTTTGAGGGGCACTTTATACATCTTTTGGAACCTGCTGCCTGAAGGAGGCTCATTATTCCTCCCATTACTTCTTGCTGAGCTTGCTGTCTGACGGCTCCAAGTGGCATTCCCTCTTGGAGGCCTGGCATAGCTTCTTCAAGTGCCTTCCTACTTGACTGACCACACGGACACATGCACAGATGATCTTTCTGCTGTACTAAACTGATGACGAGGCTCATTATTTCTCCCATACTTTCAATGCCAGCACAAAAGAAAAGGTAACACGACCTTTTAATTTTAATTAATTAAATTCAGTATCAGACCTGTTTCTTTAATATGGATGCATATTGCCATAGCTCAGTCTGTCATTCCTCTAAACAATGAATAAGAGACTGACCAACATCTAGCTATGCTAGAGCTGAGTCTCTCTTGCATCATCCATTACAGCTAGTTCTCACTTAATGACCATTCATTCAGCGACCAGATGAATTTATGATGGCACTGAACGAGAGGGATTTATGACAAGTCCTTGTAGTTGAGGCTCTCGCAGCATCCGTACAGTCACATGATCATGATTCGGGCACTTGGCAACTGGTTCGCAATTACAACATTGCCATATCCCCTAGTCACATGGTCACCATTTGCAACCTTCTTGGCCAGCTTTCTACAAGCAAAGTCAATGGGGAAGCTGGCAGGAGGTCACAAATGGCAACTATATGACATCTCGCTTAACGTCCCACAGTGATTCACTTAAACAACAGCAACCAGAAGTGCCAGAATTTCTCTTGCTAAGTGGCATGGTCACATGACATCACGCTTTATGACTACGTTGCTTGGCAACATAAATTCCAGTCCTGATTACCGTTGCTAAGTGAGGACTACCTGTACACAAGACAAAACGTGATGATCACAGTAATGAAAAAGCTTAAAGGTCAATATATAAATGATAGGGATTTTTTAAACTGTAAGTTAATATCACCAAGATCTAGACATTTTCTTGTATGAATGCTGGTTTTAAAAAAGTTAATAACTTTTTAAGAATCAGATTTTTATAAGTGAAATATTTAAATGACAAAGGAAACTGCATGTTACTCAAGATGTATCAACATTTACATGAGAAAACAAAATGAAAATAGAATCTAAAATATTATTTACCAAGAGTCACTGGTCTGAGATGGGCAGCTATATAAATTGAATGAATGAATGAATGAATAAATAAGTAAATAAACTTGATATTTGTTTGATACTGATAAAATGGTAATGTGCTTCCTCTAACGTGTTAAAAATCAATACAAATTGGTTAAATGTGTTAAAAATCTACACAACAAATAAGTAAGTACAGATGGAACTGCCTCCTCATATTCATACCTGCACTTGCAACAAAAAGTTCTGACATAATAACTGCAAGATTTTATACAATACAGAGAACATGGCACTTTTTTGTTATAGTTAGGCATACACGCACCCCTCACAGAACAGTTAGTTTACCCTTAAAGCAGTGCAGATAATTTCCTAATAAGATTATTCCTTGCTCCCAAGACTATTCAGTTCTATGCTATTCTTACCATAATAAGCTCTTCTCCTTTATTTAGCCAAATACAAAATAAAACAGGCACACTGTATACATTACTATATTATTTGTGGATAATATATACCTCTCCAAGAGCTTCATAGCGCTTTTGGTTCCATCTATGCAAATCTTCTCGGTAGTTAAAAACAAATGGCTCTCCAGTTTTTATATGTCTTAACTGCCCTTCTATAAAGAAAAACAGTAGTGTTAGATTTAAAACACAAACTTTCAAAGTGATAATTCACTATAAAGACAAAATATTTCATGACACAAGCATACCCATTCTAAGTAGTTAGCTTATCTATATACTACTAAAACTCTTGTATCTGATAGTTTGCAACCTTCAACTGGGCAAAATGGTGCATCATAGGGCAACAATTTTTCATCCAGGGTACCTCAAATGGGCAAACTTACAGAATGTGTCCAAAATCCAGGACCCATTACTCCTGTGGGATTGAAATTTGGGAAAGTTGTTGCCACTTCAGTGCTGCTGCTACGCTGCCACAGTGAGCCAGAGTCCGTGATCCTCCTTTCCAAAGCTTCCTGACAACTTCCCACAAGTCAGTGGGGAAGCCAGCAGGAACTCTAAACTCAGTTGTGGGAGTGTGGGCTGGTGGGGGAGACTTATGAGGGAGAGAGGGAGGGAGGGAAGGAGGAAGATTTCCAGTGCTCCCTGCCAGCTTCCCACAAGGAAAGTCAATGGGGAAGCTGGCAGGAAGTCAGAAGTTGCTCTTGCTCCCACTGCTTTTTTGCCCACCCATAGCCATTGTTGCTAGGCTGGCACAAAGAAAATGGAAATGGACCTTCATAGCAAGTTGCTCTCCTTACCGCTCAGCTGAATCAGCTTCAGTCTTCGCAACCTTCAGCTGCAGAAATGCCCAGTCCTTATGCCAGAAAAATTTGATGGGACACTGACCCAGTTTCCTGCATTTTTTGCTCAATGCAAATTTTACATGAATATCCGGACTAACAATATTCCTACAGATCGCTTCCATGTAGGATTAATAATTAGCTTGCTTTCCAGCTCTGCAGCCAGATGGGCAACTCCATTGTTTATACAACAGAGCCCCCTGCTGGACAGTTTTGATGAATTTAGCCAGCAGCTTCAAACTATGTATCCTGTAAAGACTCAGACTGCTAATCGACGATTAGAGAACTGAAGCAGGGTTGCTGGCCAGTAACCAAATACATTAGTGAATTCTGTCTTTTGGCCCAGGATTTGACATGGAATGATGCTGCCTTAGCGGATCAGTTCCAGGAAGGTCTGTCATCAGAAATACTAGATGAACTGACCCAGACTGAGTGCCCATAGACCCTGCAAGCTCTCATGCATTTATGTCTTTGTATTGACAGCCACCTGCAGCAACAGAAGGCAAGGATAGGCACCTACTCACACCAACTCAAAAACCTAGGGATTTTCCTACAGAGGAGCCCATGCAAGTGAGGGATGCTCAGCCTCATCTTACTCAGGCAGAAAAGGACAGATGCCAGCATGAGGTGATGTCCCTGTACTGTGGAGACCAGGGTCACCTAGTTGCCACATGCCCTTCTAAGAAGGCCAGACCTTCTCAGTCGGGAAACGGATATCCTGAATTGGTATGTCATAATTTACCCTGATGACATACTAGTTTTCTCCTCTCCAGTAGAGCACACACAGCAGGTTCAAACCATATTATAGCGTTTCCAAGAACAATTCCTCTATGCCAAGCTGAAGAAGTGTGAGTTTGAATGTACAACCATTGAGTTTTGGGGGCATCACACTTCCCCTACCAGCATCTCCATGGACCCAAGTAAGGTGGAAGAACTCAGACTTGGCAACCCTCATGTCATGCTACAGTTGTACAACAATTATTGGGGTTTGCCAATTATTACCGCATGTTCCTACCTTGGTTTTCTGAACTTACCGCACCCTTGACCAACTTGCTATGAAAAAGAACCACATTTACATGGGATGAGGCCATACAACAATCTTTTGAAACTCTTAAGAATGCATTTGCCTCAGAGCCCATCCTCTGGCATCTGGACTCCTCACAGCCATTCAAGATAGAAATGGATGCGGAGAGGCGGAGCTGGCATCGCGGCGGTACAGTGTGCGATCTGGAGCTCCCAAGATCGCAGCTGATATCTCCGATGCTGGACGGTCCCGAAG